GGTGGGGTGGGTTGGGGATAAGGGGGGACAGGGAGAGAAAAGTAAGAAGGGGAGGATTGGGGGAACTTGGGGAAACAGGAAGATTGGGATAAAGGAAGGTTGGATAGGGGAGCAGGGAAGCACATGACATATCTTAGTTAAGGGAGCCACCTTAGTGTTGGCAAGAGACTTGAACCTTGAGTGGCTCCCAGGAGCCCAAGGCGATGTCCCCAGTTAGTCCCTTGGGAAGCTGAGGATAGGGAACCTGAACTGACCCTATCCTATAGCAATACTGACGAATATCTTTCATATCACCATAGAACTTTATTATTTCAAGAGCCCTCTTCCTTCAGGGTACATTTCGTTGTAATATAACAGCTCCCCCAAAGCATCCTCAACATTTCCCACCATTTCTACAATTTGTGTGTGCTTATGCATGCTCATATACATGTATGAGAGTATGTGTGCTCTCACACATGCTCATATACGTGTGTGAGTACATGTGAAGGCCAATAAATAACCCCAAGTGTCATTCCTTAGGCTCCACCCATGTTTTTTGAGATAGGATCTCCTACTGGCCTAGAGTTCGCCAAGTACGCTAGGCTGTCTGGCTAGTAGGCTAGTCCCAGGATCTGCTTGTCTCTGCTTGCCTGCCTCCCCAGTGCTGCAATTACAAGGGCATACCACCCTAACTTGCTTTCATATACATTTGTTCTTGGGATAAAACTCAGGTCCTCAAGCTAGCCCTCCAGCTCCTCCAACCTTCTTAAAGGCTCTACAGGCCTGTATATATTTGTATGAGTGTCATTTATTGAATAGTATACAGAAACCTAACATTGATCGTGAAGACCACAGACACAGAGACCCTGTTTTCTCTATTTTTGTTTTCTACAGTTTCATTCCCAACAGCAAAATATTAAATGGAAAATTGCAGAAATAAAAGTTTTAATGTGATTCTAGGAAGGCGTGGAAAGCTTACTCCAGGGGCTGGATAGACAGCTCAGGGCTTAAGAGCACTTGTTGCTCTTGCAGGGTTCCCAGCACCCACATGGTGGGTCACAGCCAACTGTGACTCCAGTTCCAGAGAATCCAATACTCTCTCCTGAACTCTGTGGATACCAGGTATATACGTGGTGCAAACACACACGAGACAAGACACTCAGAAACATAAAATAAATCTTTAGAAACTTTCAAACCGACTCCACTCTACGCAGGGTTTTATGAATGAGTCGTCTGATCCTGTGTGCCCACAGTAGATACACTACACCCTTGCTAATAGCCAGCTCAGTTACCGTGTCTGTCCGAGCGTCCCAGTGCGTGTGACTAACTAACTCTCATTTTACTGAAGGATGATCCCAAAGCACAAGAGAGTGATGCACAGATAGCATGATGCATCAGGAACAGATTGACTCTGATACTAAAGGGCAGCCCAGGAGAGGACACAGGCGAAACAGTATCCTGGCTCTCCTGGCCTTCCTGGTCTGGCTCTCCTGGTTGCAGGCTTCCACAGGGAGGCTTAGACGTACCTCTCTAGATAAAGAAAACTATACTTCATATCTTTGACTGTCAAAAACAAACAAACACCCTGCTACTTGTTTTACTACTTTTCTGGATTTGGGGTATCTTACAATCAATTGGAGCATCTCTTAAAATTTTATGGTATTTGTTGAGTTAATTGCAGCATTTTGCTTTTTCTTGCCTGTGGTCCATAACATGATAAACCTAAAAACCCAAGGGCCTTTCAGAGAGGCGAGGAAACAATACCATGTTATTAATGTGTGCAGAATATGTTAATGGTTCCCATCTACTCTAAAACGTGCTTTCTCATGAGAGTCCAATGGGAAAGATTTTTTAAATAGCGTTCTGTAGCTGGGAAATAGCATAACTTACTGAGCAACCTATGAAGACGATGAGCAACAGCTCTTAGGGGGAGAGGGGGAGATGGGATTCTCTCTGGTCGTCTTTTCTCATTTGGTGGAAATGCTGGGGATTCTACTTGCAGAAATGATAGTCTTGATGCAATATTGTCCTTTTCAAAACCTTGGCTGGGGGTGCAGAATACCGCTGTGCTGGCTAGTTTTCTGTTTACTTCATAAAAATTGGAGTCATCTGAGAGGAGGGAACCTCAATTAAGAAAATGCCTCAGATACACAAGCCTGTAGGACCTTTTCTCAATTAGTGATTGATGTGGAAGGGCCCAGGCCATTGTGGGTGGTGCCATCCCAGGACTAAGAAAGCAGACTGGGGAAGCCATGAGGGGCAAACCAGTAATCAACACTCCTCCATGGCCTCCGTTTCAGTTCCTGCTTACAGGTTCCTGCACTGAGTTCATGTCCTGATTGCCTTTAACGATGAACAGTGTGATATGAAGTGCAAACCAACTAAATGCTTTTTTCCCCAAGTTGCTTTTGGTGATGGTGTTTCATCGCAACAACAGAAACCCTAGTAAGACAACCATTGTGCTTCAGAGTCCTGAGCTTTGATGCCTGGGGTCTGCGGCTCAGCTCTTTCAGCAACAGTCTGGCTGGGTACAAGACCAGGATCCATTTTCTGTTTTGTCCTTAAGTTTCCCCTAACAGACACTTTCTAAGCAAAATGAGATGCGGGCTCCTCCTTGGCCAGGCCTCAACCACGACGCCCCCCTCCCCTTTTTTTTGAGATCTGATGCTGGAATGTAGCCAAGCACTAACTGTAGGTTTCAGAACGTGGGAAGGACCCTTAAAATTCCGCAGTGCCGCCCCACCTCCTGCTTCTCTGCATCCTTGTAAGAGGCGCCCAAGCATCGCCCACCGCCCTGGGCTTTGGGGCTGCGGGGATCGCCGGGGAAGGCGGGGTTCGGCCGGCAAGAGTTTGGAGAACCTGAGCATGGGTACCTGTGGCTAAGCCCACTGGAGTGGAGGGTCAAAGGCTACACGTGACCCATCTAAGCTCGCAAAATAAAGAAAGAATTTAAAGAAATATCAAGCACTCTGCCCACACGTCTGGGGCCACCCTTATCACCGCAGCATCAACTTTTAAATGCATCTCCCCTAAATTACAAAGACAGAAATCACTAGCCAACTTTCAGCTAAACTCCAAACTTGGCGAGCGCGCGCAGACGCCAAGAAGGCGGGGAACTGGCGCACCACGACGGGACGGTCCCGGTCTGGCTCGGCGTCCCAGGAGGGTCATTGAAGAGGCCGCAGGCGCTTTCTGTGGACCCCGAGGGTGAGTCACTCCTAGACGCACGGCTCGGCCGCACCGGGGGTCTAAGCGTCTATCCGGTCGCTCGCGTTCAGGAGCGACGGGCTGCGGGCGCGAGCGGAGGCTACGAGCACGCGCAAGCCCGCGGGGCCCCGCCCCACGCCCCCGAACCGCCTCCAAATACTCCTTCGCGTTGCCGCGCAGTCGCCTCTGGTCGCCTGTGAGGTCCGAACGCGCTGCTCCGAAGGAAGCCGGCGACCGCGGGCGCCCGGCCGCGCGGGCAGCCTCGAGACAATGGGGCCGCGGCGCTTGCTGCTCGTTGCCGCTGGCCTCAGCCTGTGCGGTCCCTTGCTGTCTTCCCGCGTCCCCGTGAGCCAGCCAGGTAAGAGCTGCCGGCCGGTGCGCTAGTGGGGGGGTATCAGAAGTAAGGTTGCGCCTGCTTCGCGCGGGGGTACGCCTGTCTGCAACCCTGCCTCAGCTTCCCCCAGGAGCCAAACAGGCATTTGAGCCAAGATCTAGAGTTTCCCCAGACACATCCCCTTCCTGCCCCATCACGGCCGGTGCTCCTTTGGACTCGGTTTTGGGGAGTGCAGCCCGCAGGCCACTGGGTTTTAGATCCGGAGGAGGGGCCCAGGGCTCCGGAGCAGCCTCCGCCAGCGCATTTGTTGTTATTGTGTGGCCTGTTTTGCAAGACCACCTCCAGAAAGAAAGGGTCTCGTGAACGGGTGCTTTGGTTGTGAGGTGGAACCACTCCGGCTTAAGTTTTGCTTTGTTGGAACTCTCTTTTTCTCGCTTGATTTGCAAGGAAGGAAGGGTGGTGTAAAAGAAAAACCCATAAGCATTAAATAAAGACGATAAAGACTGGTAGTCCCCAGCTCGGCCTAGTACCCAGGAGGTGACGGTGATATCAGGACATAGGGGGTGTGGAGCGGGTGTCTTTGTTATCTGAACTTGTTCCTCTGGGTCGAGAAGAGGGACCCCTCCTAGGAATCAGGCTCTCCTAGAAACTATCTAGTCTCGGTTTTTCACAATGGAATTTATCATCTGTGGCAGAGAAGTTGCCTCCAGTACATTTGTTGTTAACCGTGTGTTTTAAGCATCCGCCTGCTTGACCAAGTAAATTCATTTGGTCAATTTATTTCATCAAATATTTTCTCTATTTCATCAAATCCTTTCTCCAAAGTAGAGGAGGCATTGCCTGTAAAGTTCCTAATTGGAAAGTTAGGGAAATGGTTTTGGATTTCTTCGTAGGGATAATGTGGTAGGAACCTCTAGTCGTGGCTTTCAGGCTGAAGAAAATCTAGTGGGTTTTTGTTCGGGGGGTTTTTGTTATCGCTGAAAGAATGTGTACTCCCATGCTCCCAAAGACCAGGATTAAGAGGTAACAAAGAGTAGGGTGTTGCGTGTTCTCTGTCCTTGCTTGGTGTGGGCTTGAGTGATGCTCCTGGGGAAAATGCAGTGCCCCAAACAGGGCCCCCAAGTTTAGCAGCAACTAGCCAGCCTGCCTGCCTGTGGGTAGCCATCCTCAATCATTTGTGGGGAGGAATGGAAAAATGCAGAGATTCCGTGTCACATAACTTTGTTACTCTCTCAGTTTTATTTTGGGACAAGCCTTTTGAAAATACAGACCTTGAGATTTGGGCAATGCCCAACCACCCCAGGCAGATCAGTGTTTCCTTAGTGGAGTCCTCATAGAGGATTTTGGGCACCTTAAGGGAGTGAAGTCAGAGGCCTCTTCTAAATTCTCTTCCTTATAGGAGGGATAGAAAAGCCCCAGCAGAAGCAGAAAGACTACTGAACAAGAGTTGGCTTATCCACGCGGGGTTCTGGAGACACTTAATAGGGAAGGAAGAAAGGGGATGAGAAGGAGACACAGAGAGAGGGAGGGAGTAAGGGGAGAGAGAGAGAGAGAGAGAGAGATGCGAGCAAAGTGGCTGGGCAGAATTCTTACCCACGTCGTTGCTTCCCACCCTCTTAAACAATCTCTATGTTAAGAAGAGGATTTAACCTCTTTTGCTGGTTCCAAAACCGAAGCCCGGAGAGGCTCAGTGACCTGCCATCAGGGAATGGTTATAGGAGCGGTCCGCCCACGTTGGGTGCATGCTGTAAGTGAACTCACAAATAAAATCAACCAAAAATAAATCTGCTTCTCATTACCACTGCATACCAGCAACTGTAAACGGTTCCTGTCCTGAAACACTGGCAAGTCCGACACTGTCTCCCCATCCTGAATCTTCTCTTGCTGCAGGAGTATCCACAAGGCTCCCTTCAGCCTTGCCCACCTGTCCCGGCTTTTCTCTCGGTTTCGGCATCTTGTCATTTCCTGCCTTGTCACTCTGTCTCGTCGCCCTTGCCAAAGTCATGAACTTCCGTTTATCCCCATGGTATCTGGGACAAATGTTCTACAGATATTTGTTGAAAAGCGTGTGAGCGCATTAAGCAGTTTACCCTCGGGGCAGGTAGTTTAGGTTCGATGACTTGTATTTATTAAAGAAGGAGAGTGTTAAAGGGTGAAGGGTGATGCTTGTGAAGTTTATAAGAGATAGAAGGTAAAAAAAAAAAATTAAAAATAAAAAGTTTGGAAATAGTTGATGGTAATTGTGGCAAAATGCATTGGTATTTCAGAGGCCAAGCCTGGTTCCTCAGCAAGAAGTGAGGGGTCCCTGTAGAAGACACACACACCCCCACCAGCACCCCTTTTATACGTTCTTCACTCTATCTTCCCTCGAGACTGTATGCCTTCTCTGGCTTCTTTCCCCGTGTCACCCAAGGTCTCTTGGCCTTCCCTCAGCTTCCTACGCCCCTTTACCCAGAACTGGTATCTGGATGTGCGCCTGTGCTAGCTGCTCCTGGCTGGCTGTCCTATGGACTCGCTCTTTTCAGAGCCCAGGACTTGTTGCTGTTCAGAACATCTCTTCCCATCCTCCCCACCCCCCTTACTCATGTCTCTTTTGCCCCTGTCAAACTGGAGCTTACCTGGGTTCTAAGCCATAATGGGGCTCCCGGACACCCGGATTTCTAACAACCTGGGTTGTATGTAACTCTCCTCATTTGGGGCCCACGTCCCTTTCTCCTGTCTGTCAGTCTGTCTGTGTCTTTTTGTTTATTTCCCACACCTTATCTCCCTCCTTATATTATTTCTTTCGATTGAGATGAAATCCTCAGAACATACAGTCATCCGCCTGGAAGTCTGGTGCAGTTACCACTTCCTTTGCCTTGTTCCAGCAGCTACCATCACGGAAGGAACCCTGGGACTCCTGTGAGAGTCAGTGCTTAGGCCTCCTTTCACCTGCCTTCTCCCACGGCCGGTTTGCTTTTTCTATCTGTGCTCTACCTCTTCTCAGGATTTCACCATCCACACGTGGCTGTGTTTCTGGGGACAAATCCATTCACTAGGATTCCTAAGCTCCCAGGATCTGCTTCCACGGGACCCAGTAGGAACACACTGTCACCAGGACAGTGTCGGGAACTGTGAGGTGTGTCAGACTTTGCTTTCTAAAGCCGGTCTTCTCTGGTTTGTGGCTTCTTTTATTCGGCTTTGCCCTCCCTCTTGGTAGAATTGTAGAGTAAACGGCACTCCCGGTGAGCCAGGTGATTTCCGGGATTCCTTCCGCAGGTTTGTCCTCCAACTGTGACCTTGCCATTCTCTGCCAAACCCACTAGAGTTACCAAGTTGGGGCGGGGGTATGCAAGCCTGTGCCAGCAGGCCCCAGTGATCCCACACACACACTCTCATGAACACACACACACACAGTCCTAGGATAACAGTCATATAAGAATGCCGCCATGGGAACTCATGCTTGGGCAACAAGCACTTTTATTCCGAGTCATCTCTCCAGGCCTGCCGGTTTTTTGAAGCAGGGTTTGCTGAGCAGCACAGGCTGGCATTAAACTCATAGTTCACCTGCCTCAGCCTACCAAGTGCTAGAATTACAGGCATGCGTCACTATGCCCCTGGTTCTGAAATGAAGGGTTTCGTCCTGCATCCTAAGGTATCCTACAAATCCTTTATAGCTGTGCATGCATCATTTGCTCTCGAAAGTAACCTCGCTGTCTTAAACTGCAGAACTAACCTGTGATTTGCGTGTAGAAAAACAAACCTGTGTAGCTTTAGGAAAGGACATTAGAGAACGTGTGTTCAAAGTTTGTGACAAATTGCTACTCGAGTTTCAGAGTACTACAGAAAAAGTGATTTTTTTTCCCTAACCAACCATAAGAATAAGAAATACATTTTGCGTTAGGCACACTTGGAGTGTATACAAGAACATACATGACACCCGTGTTGTATAACACATACAAAGCAGAGTTTGCCGAGACGCGCTCGCCTTTACCATGCGCTATCCTTTCTCCACACTGTTCCAGTTAAAATAAAACAAAACCCAACAAAACGCCTAGGAGGGTGGAAAGATGTCTCAGTAGTTAAGAATGCACAGTGCTCTTGTAGAGGATGGAACTGTGGTTCCCAGCACCCAAATCACAGCCGCCTGTGAGTCCAGCCCCAGGGGGATTAGCTACCCCAGGCCTCCGAGGGCACCCACACTCGTGCATACACCCACCCCACAGGCACGCAATACACACAATTGCAAATAAAAATAAATACTGTGAAAACTTATTGGAATCCTCCAGTTGAGGCGCTGCTCAGTTTCTACTGGAATTTAAACCTAGCACGTCTGGGACAGGGAATCGTCCCTAAAGAGCAAAATCACGGCCTTGCCAGAAGAGCCCGGCTTTCTCGGAAGGACCACTCTTGAATCTCTATCTTATCTAGGACCCATTCTTGCAGTTCAGATCCACTGATTGCAGAAGAACTGACGTAGGAAGACAGTGCAGTCTTAGAGGGGCTGGGGATCCCTGACTGTGAATTGGTCTTTACATCACTGTTGAGTCTAGACAGAGCTTTCCTGGGACAGGAACCTTGGGGATGGTGATTGAAGGCAGAGAACAGACCAGCAGGGATGAGGAAAGTCAAAGGTTAGGGAATCCCAGTGGCTCTCAGGGAGGCCTGTGAGCATCCCCTAACCCCACCTCTGTCTCCTGCCTCCAGGCACCATAGGTAAGAGCCTGACAGACTTGTGTGCACATCCCTGTGCCTTGGACACACCATAATGACTTCCTGTAGCTGGCCTGCCTGAAAACCCCAGGGTGTGCCAGACAGACAGCCTCCAGGGCATTCTGCCTTGCACCCTGCCTTACTGATTTAAAGATTTGATTGTGGGGTCTGGCGAGAATGGTGTTCAGTAAGTAAGAGTACTTGCTGTGCAAACAGGAGAACCTGAGTTCGAGTCACAAGCACCCAGCCTCAGCATCCAATGACAGAAATAGGAGAATCATGAGAGCTCTCCGGCCAGTCTGCCTGTCTAGCCAAAATGGAGAGCTGCCTGTTCATTGAGGAACTCTGTCTAAGAGCAACACCGCAGAGAGCAATAGATAATGGCTCTCGATGGCCTACTCTAGGCTCTACGTGCACACACATGGTTGCCCTTACATATACATGCACATACACACCTATACACACATGCAGAGGTTGTTTTTCACTGACCATCTGTGGATGTTTCTCTGTTTCCCACACATGTCTGTGAGGGCTGAGTCGTGGACAGGGGTTGGTACCTAGCCAAAACCATGAACTCCAGAATTCCCAAGCAACGGGAAGACTTTGTCCCCAAAATAAACATAAAACACCTGAAAAATAAAGGACAGGATGGGTCATTGTGGTCAAAGGGTATTAAGTCTTGATGTCTAAATTCAAGTCTTGGCTTTTCCACTAGCTAGCTGTATGATCTTGAATAGTTAGCTTCTCTGTGCCTCTGTATTATCATTTATAAAATAAGGTTAGAATGTTTATCTCACAGACATGAGGTAAAGGCAGAAGTGTCTGGTATGGAGTGGGTATTCAAGACGTGAGGGTTTGTGGGTTTCTCGGCCCACATACCAATTTCTTCATGGTCTTTAAAATGTTAGTACTAGGCAGTTGTGGTAACACTGACTTCTAATCCCAGCACTCTGTAGGCACAAGTATGCAGATCTCTATGAGTTTCGGGACTGCCTGGTCTACGTAGCAAGTTCTGGGCTAGCCAAATGAGACCCCGTCTTAAAATAATAAATCAAATGTCATAACAAATGATTTCTATAAATGTAAAGCTGTGTTCATAAGAATATTTAACAGCTTTCCCCTCCCTCAGAACTAAGACAAAAGAAAAACAGAAACAAAAATACTTCTGTTTAGGGCTGGAGAGATGGCTCAGCAGTTAAGAGCATGTACTTCTCTCGTGGAGGACAGCTTTGACTCTCAGTATCCATGTCAGGTGACCCACAACTAGGTCTAGGGAAGGCATCCTCTCATTCACCTACGCACACACACAGAAACACACAAGACACATGCACACATGTATGCGCACACATAATTTTTAAAAAATGTTTTTATTGGCTTTTCGAGACAGGGTTTCTCTGTGTAACGATCCTGGCTACCCTAGAACTCACTTTGTAGACCAGACTGGCCTCAAACTCACAGAGATCTGACTGCTTCTGCCTCCCTCCTGAGTGCCGCGATTAAAGGTGTCCACCACCCAGCTACCTAACTTCATTCTTAAATGCAGGATGTGAGGATGATCTGTCCAAGAGGACTCCATTAGCCTGAGCCTCACCACAGCCGATTTATTGGCTCTGGAATGGCTAGGGGATGTCCCCCCTCCCTCCCTCCCTCCGCTGTGTGTGTCCCTCCCAAGACTATCTCCCTGCAGGACCTTACTTGAAGAAAGAGGACTGGTATTTGAGTAACAGCACTCCCTGCCACCTCCAAACAGTTCTCAAGATCTGTCCTTAAATATATTACTTTATTATTAAATAGAGATATAAATTTTACAAGTATATTAAATACACATCCTTAAATCCACACACAGCCCTAGATATCAGACTCCTTTCCCTTAAATGCGACATCATCAGAAGAAGATAACAAACAATTTCTTTTTTATTTTATTTATTTATCTATTTAATTTTGTTTTTTTAAGACAAGGTTTCTCTATGTATCTCTGGCTGTCCTGCTGGAACTCACTCTATAGATTAGGCTGGCCTCGAACTCACAGAGATCCGCCTGTCTCTGCCTCCCTGAGTGCTGGGATTAAGAGAGTGCTACCACTGCCCTTCTTAGAACAATTTCTTGATGTCACCCACTAGGTGAAGTGTCCAGGCTTCCCTGGTTGTCTGTAAATGCCTATTGGTACTATGTGCAGATCAGAATGGAAGAACTCCGCCGCTGACTTACCTCTGTGCCTTCCATCTTTCATCTACAACTGCTACTCACCTCCTTCAGTCCTGGGGACCAAACTGAGGGACCTCATAACCCCACCCCTTCTGATTGCTGTTTGTCAAGGAAACTGGCCATCTGTCCTGAAGGCTTCCTTAACATCTGCACCTGATTGGCTGCGGTTGAGCAGGCTCCTCCTACACAGACATCCGCATCATCTCCATCATCATTTATTTGATGAGCAAAGCCATCTTTGGGAGGCCACAGGGTTTTGACCCAATGCTAATAATACTCAGAGGTTTTCAAGGTCGCGTTGTACATTTCCTGCTCCAGATCTGAAGGAGGGCATTTCTCTAGGGGGCCTGGCCCTTGCCATGGGAGAGTGGTTTGAGTTGAAGGGAGTGAAGCATTCTAGAGAGGCTGCGGTGTTTTGCTTGACAGTCTGTTTTTGCCATGCGTTTTTCTTCTAGCCTTCTCCTCCCCCGTCATTCCATGTGGCCTGTGAAATGCAGGCCACAGTTGACCTGCCCTCATGGGAATCTGGACAACATCCTGAGACTTCAGCATAGCACGTGAACCCTGGAGCAGAACACTGAAATCCCAGGATTAAGGGGACAGTGAAAGAGTGTCTAGTCACCGGCTGCTTCCAGCCAGATCGCAGCAAAGTCAAAAGAGCCATTGCCTGACACTAATTTCAGGTCTCTAAATTAGTCTGTGTTTAAGCTAGTTAGCAATGTGTTGTGTTCAATCTCGAAACCAAAGCCCAGAGTGTTGGTAAACAATGGAGGGTTAGGAGTTCAAGGCTTACCTCAGCTACATAGTGAGTTCAGGGCCTGCCTAGGCTACGTGAGTCCTTGTCTCAAAACCATAAAAATAATGTCAGAACCAATCGGGGGCTTCCGAGGAACCTTCATTAAGTAAAACTTACCAAGACATTTAAGAACCAATTTTGAACCTGTGCTGCTTTCTCTGTGAAACCAGAACTTAGCTTTTCCTTAGCAGCAAAAGGCTGGGTGATTCAGAAGAGCTTTGGCCAGCTCATAGACACTTCTTCCCCTTTGGCCTCTGAGACGTGTAGGAAAATCGAAGTAGGCAAACTGAAATACCAGTGTGAGGGTCTTGAGCGTGCTGGAAGAATCTAGCCACTAGGCCTGGGTTGTGTTACAGTGACGCTGATATGCACTTTCTCTGGCATTCTCTAATTTCGTAAAACCTAGCATATCGAATCTGGTGGGAAGAAAGGGTGACTGACGCCTTGGGCCGTGATGTTTAGTTGAGGGATTATGCATTCGTCCCTGTTCCAGACTGTAAATACCATGTGTCTCCTGAGGTATAGTGTATATCTCCTGTGATAAGTAACCAGGCTGCAGACAAAGGACATGCCGGGAAGGGCACGTCCGAAAACAGTATCGGCAGAGCTACTAAGCCCAGAGACGGTTTTGTTTTCAGACCAAGGGACAGCATTCTACCCTCTCAGATGAGTGATTTCAAGCTGTGTCCCTCTTCCAGTGCCATGTGGGTTCCTACAGTGTGTGTGTGGCGGGGGGCACGTTTGAATGCACCCGCTTCCCCTCCGTCCGTCCAGGCTCATGGAACTGAGCATCAAGGCATTTCCCGTGTGCCCATGCTCAGCCGTGGGTTTCTGGCCTTAGCTTTTGTAAGAAGTTCTGAGCCATCTTCCATCGTAGCTGTGCTTCCTGCTCTGGCGGGTGTCCAGGGGTCCCGCCATCTCCACGTTCTCGCCGACACTTGTTATTGTTCAGTCTTCATCAGAGTCATTCTAACGAACGTGAAATGATAAGTCAGAGTGGTTTAGGTGACAGCTAGCAAGGCTAAGCATTTTATTACACACCTTTCGGGCTTTTTGGTATTATCTTTGGAGAAATGCCTTATTTAGTTTCTGTGGCATTTTTTTAAAACAACTTGTTTTCCTGCTAACAAGGGACTGAGCTCCTTATATGCTTTGGACAGGGATCCCTTGTCAGTCAGGGCGTGCACTTTGCAGTATTGTCTCTCTTCTGTAAGGTATCTCTAACTGATGGCACCTTCGCTGTATGGGGCCTTTGTTTTCAGCCCACTCTGTCTATCTGCTTTTGTTGCCCACGCCTTTGGCTCAGATCCACGAAGCTTTCACTCTGATTTCTTATCAGAGTTGCATAGTCTCAGGTATTTGATTTGAGTCTTTAGTCCAGTTTGAGTTAGCTTTTCTATATGGGGATAAGGGGGAAGGGGTTTTTATTTTATTCATATTTTATGTGTATGGGTGTTTTGCCTGCGTGTATGTCTGTGTACTAATGTGCACAGTGCCTTTGGAGGCCAGAAGAGGACATTGGGTTGCCTGGAACTAGAGCTAAAGATGGTTGTAAGCCACCTTGCAGGTGCTGAGAATCGAACCCCGGTCCTCTGGAAGAGCAGCCAGTGCTCTTAATGGTTGAGCTGTTGCTTCAGCATGATTTTATTTTTATTCCAAAGATTAGGTTAGAGAACCTTCCAGTTCCTTTTGTTCATTGCATTTCCCCCTTCTTTTCTGGTATATCTGAAACAAGGTCTTACTCTGCAGCTGGGATGATTCATAGCAGCCAGGTTGGCACGAGATTCTCAGTTCTCCTGGTGCAGTCTCCCAAGGGCTGGCATTGCGTGTATCTGCTAGTGTGCCCAGCTTCCTGTCCTGGAACTAGCTCTTGTAGACCAGGCTGACCTTGAACTCACATAGATCCGCCTGCCTCTGCCTCTTACAAAAGCTAAGGCCAGAAACCCACGGCTGAACATGGGCACACGGGAAATGCCTTGATGCTCAGTTCCATGAGCGCTGGGATTAAAGGTGTGCGCCACCACCGCCAGGCCTTTCCTGTTTATCTTTAGCATAGATTGTTTGTATCTACCTTTTGAGCGTGACCCAAGTGTTGACCAAAACCTTGAGCAGAGGCTGGGTGTGGTGGTACATGCCTTTACTCCCAGTGCTCCAGAGGCAGAGGCAGGTAGATTTCTATGAGCTTGGGACCAGTCTGTTCTATATAGCAAATTCCAAGCCAGCCAAAGCTAAAAAATGTGACCCTGTCTCAAAAGAAAAGTTTAGAGCAGAATTTGCACTGGAATTTGGACTCCTTATCTAAAACTTTCCTTCCTGAAATTTTTTCCTAGTGACTGTGGAACTTGTGACCAACCAACTACGCAATATGACCTCCTTCTTTGAATTTATTTGCTAGGGGTTAGGGGATGCAGTAAACTTTGAAGACTGAGCGAGAAAGCCCAGAGGGTCAGAGAAAGCATGCTTAGACTTTTGACAGGTATCCAAAAAAAAAAAAAAAGAGAGAGAGAGAGAGAGAGACAAAAGGAAAAGTTACAATTTGAATTAGAACTCAGAAAAGTGGGGAGCTTCAATGCTGCTGCTGCTACTACACAGCCAGAAGGTCTGTAAATTGTTGCACCCCTGCACAGTAGAAGGTCAGTAAATGGCTGCACCCCTGCACAGTAGAAGGTCAGTAAATGGCTGCACCCCTGCACAGCAGAGCTCTGTAAATGGCTGCACCGCTGCACAGCAGAGCTCTGTAAATGGCTGCACCGCTGCACAGCAGAGCTCTGTAAATGGCTGCACCCCTGCACAGCAAAGCTCTAATGCTTGCACCACTGCACAGTAGGGCATTAGCCATGAGGGATGGCTTCTGGGAAGGGTACGTACCTCATCTCACTAAAGGGATAATTATTCCCCCCATCACCTTAGCATGTCTTTCAGCTTTCCTGGGTAATGGCCTCCTGGACTATCTGGTGATTGACAGGCCCAGATGGATTGACTCTTCAGGGAGGAGACACTAGTAGATCATCTTCTCATCTTAGGACCAGATCAGGATGTTATCTCCACTCGGGGCCAGAGGGAGAACTCAAATTCCATTCTTTTTACAGGAAACAGTAGCTTTCCCTTAATGGGCTTCAGCAAACCCCTGACACCTTATTATATAGTGTTTTAAATCTTGGGGTTGAAGGGGGACAATTGGGAAGTTTCCCTTTCTAGTGTTAGCCAGGAGAAAGGAGATGGGGGTCCATTCTAGATGACTTCCAAGGTGACTAATTCCTACCTTAGATACCTGACATTCCCCCTCTCGAGATTTAAGATCACTTAGGAGATGGGCTGGGAATAGGACTTACAAGGGTTTAGGATCTCCACCCGTGATGACTCTCAGGCCTTGGAAGGCGATAAGGGAGCTCGGCTAGACGGTGTTGGACTGCAGGAGGGCCACATGAGTACTGGCAGGCTGTGAAAGAGAGGAGATGAAATTAGGACAGCAGTTCCGTACACAAGATCCAGAGATTGATTAGATCACTGCTAGGATTATAATAGATGAAACCCATTTCCACCATACAAACCCAGATCAGTCCCAGAGCTCTTCACCAGGAGCAATCAGTGGTGGTGCCTTGGACTGGAGGTTCAGTCACACTTTCATGTACAGCTTCTAGGCATCTGTGTAAAAGGAAAAAGATATCAAGAATCCAGATGGGGACAGATGCCCTGAACCCTTCTGGCATATGTGACTTGAAGCAAGGACAAAACTTGGCCATAGAACTAAGAACATTTCCAGCTCTGAGAATTTCCTGCCTGCCGTCCCCACAGCTCTTAGAACAGTGCACACCGAAGTGCCTTCCTTCCTGTCTATGCAGCACTCCGCTAAGTGCCTGGGAGCCTTCAGGGATCCAAGCTGTTTCCCTTCACTCCACCCCGGCTAGCCTCGGCAGATTCTCCAGGAGACAGCAGCCATGAATCTTCTCATCTAATTTAATCCGACATCATCTACCTGGACATAGAATCAGAGTTCTCGGTTTAAAGGCTCAGCCCCATTATCGGAGGTCTGTCTCAAACCTCAGGTCCCTGAGCCTGGACCTCCAGAACTCTTGACCAAACAGTCTGTGTGTTAAATGTTCCCATGACTTCTGCTCGGATTCTATAATCTGCTAGGGCAGCTAGCTCCAGGAACCTAGAGGAAGACTTCACCTGTTCTTCCCATTGATCATAAATGATACTACAGAAGATGCTAATGAATGAATAGGCGGGGAAAATACACAGGGTGAGATGAGCAGAAGGGCAGGAGCTCCCCTGCCCACCTTCCAGCCTTGCTTTGGCTTTCACGTGACCATCCTTGGTCCTGAAGCTGTGTAGAGACCACTAACCAGCAGTCAGCTCATGAGCATACAAAGGTATTCTTATCCTGGAAATTCCGAGAAGCTCAGCTCATTTAAGTCAGGAATTGGGACAAAGGGCAAGTACTCTTTCCAGGTTGTCACAGACACTGGCATCAGGTCTCTCTCAAACTAAAAATCATTGGGGAGGGGAAAACCCAACACCATCCTCTCTTCCAAAACCCACCCTTCCTACGTGTTCTGTTTTCTGTCCTGTGATCTTGAGTACCTTCAGGGCATTGATGGGGTGTCCAGCAGAACCTTAGTTTTAGCCTAAGAAGATTTTCCCTGCAGGACCCTACAGCTGTGCAGAAGCAGAACTCACCACTACATTACATCGTGCATCTCAGAAAGTGTGTTTTCAAGAAAGTTCTTGTTGTGGAATGTTCCTATACTGTGTTAACTGTGGCCACTAGAGCTGAATGGCCATTAGCTAGCCAGAAAGAGGTTAGGCAGGACTTCTGGGGACAGAGCTCTGGGAAGAACAAAGGACAAGTTGCCTGCCCAAGGCAGAGGGAGCAAGACATGCAGGAGGAGATGTAAAAGCCACGAGTCATGTGGCAACACGTTGGTGAATAGAAATGGGTTGATTTAAGTTATAAGAGCGAGCGGGACAAGCCTAAGCTGTAGGCCAAGCTTCTGTAATTAATAAGTTTCCGTGTCATTTTTTGGAGCTGGTGGCCCAAAGAAAAACCCATCTACAGGTTCCACTAAAGAAAACAAAACCAAGGCTGAGATTTTCCTGCACTTGTCCAGTTTTAAGGTTTACCTCCTGCAACTTCCCAGAGAGGCACAAACAACCTTGAGCACAGAGACCTCGTCCCGTTCCTCTGTGGTTCTTGTTTGCACTTCTCAGTTCCCTGACACCCAGCAGATGTAGGATTTTCGCAAAACTCTTCGCAAAGAAAAGCTGTTGTCTGGCTGGTGACGTCACTTTTCTCTATCATTTCAAGTGGATAATTTTTATGGGTGACTGGGCTAAGGAGGTGTATATAGCTGAGCTTTTATTTTGACATCTGGTTAAACCACCAAAGAGTCTGGTTGGGCAGGTATGCACCTTGAGGCATATAGCGTTCTAGAAGAAGGTCATGGCCTGGTGCAAGTGGCCAAGGATGTCTGCTGCTAGATGGAGCTGCTGGGCAAGGAAGCAAGGTGACAGGGGTGTCACTGGGTGACAGGTGCCTCCTGACTGTGTGAAGTAACCTGAGGGCCTGTGGACCTACACAGGAAAGACGTTGAGGACATCTGTTTGTAAACAAACTAAGATAGAGGAAAACTACTGCCATGTGGACCTCAGTCATTGTTTCGGGGAGCCCTGGGCCCTACTCTGAATGGCCCCCATTCTGTGACCTATAGGAATTTTTCTCTGCTTTCTATGTGGATTTTTTTGCTTTGGGAGAGGTGAATTTCTCTAGATGGCTCCAACTAGCTGGGGAAGGAAAGAGAAGCCATAGAAGTTGGAAGAAGTGAGCTGTATGTTTAGATGGTTTACAACAGGGAAGAAAGCACCTATCGAGGGCTGGCGGAAGGGCTCAGTGAGGGCAATGGACACCAAGCCTGACCACCAGCGGTCAGTCCCCTGGGTCTACACGGCAGGAGAGAAGCAGGCTCCCCCTCCACGTGTGGCATTGCCAGCTCTCTCCCACCACACCAAGCAAATCAGTAAAACGTTAGGGGGGAAAAGCACCATTTGCTCTTCCATGGCAAGTGAGGTCTGCAAGGTAGATTGATCTCTGAGTGATTCTGCTCACCTTTGTCCTCCGGGGAGCAGGGTATTAGGAGTTAGCTTGTATCCAAACAGAACGTTGCACCATACTCTAAGATAGAAGTACATTCCCTAACACAGTCCATAGTCCATCTGCGCATGACCTGAACCTGGCCACATGCTCCCTGGAGAAAACTACAAAGCCAACCAGCGTACTCGGCTTGGCTCCTTGGCCGATGGATTCCGCTCACTTTTTCCACGTTTTCTTTTTCAGAACCCGAGACGACAGAAGTCACTTTGAACCCCCGCTCGTTTTTCCTCAGGAATCCCAGCGAAAATGCCTTTGAACTGGTCCCCCTGGGGGATGAGGAGGAGAAAAATGAAAGTGCCTCGCCCGAGGGCAGGGCAATCTACCTAAATAAAAGCCGCTCTCCTCCCACCGCACCTGCTCCCTTCATCTCGGAAGATGCCTCGGGATATCTGACCAGCCCCTGGCTGACACTCTTCATCCCCTCGGTTTACACGTTTGTGTTCGTCGTCAGCCTGCCTCTGAACATCCTGGCCATCGCGGTGTTCGTCCTGAAGATGCAGGTCAAGAAGCCGGCCGTGGTATACATGCTGCACCTGGCCATGGCTGACGTGCTGTTCGTGTCCGTGCTCCCCTTGAAGATCAGCTACTACTTTTCCGGCAGCGATTGGCAGTTCGGGTCGGGCATGTGTCGCTTCGCCACCGCAGCGTTCTACTGTAACATGTATGCCTCCATCATGCTCATGACGGTCATAAGCATTGACCGCTTCCTGGCGGTCGTGTACCCCATCCAGTCCCTGTCCTGGCGCACCCTGGGCCGAGCTAACTTCACTTGCCTGGTCATCTGGGTGATGGCCATCATGGGGGTGGTGCCTCTCCTCCTCAAGGAGCAGACCACCAAGGTTCCGGGGCTCAACATCACCACCTGCCACGACGTCCTCAATGAGACCCTGCTGCAAGGCTTCTACTCCTACTACTTCTCAGCCTTCTCCGCTGTTTTCTTTCTGGTGCCACTGATCATTTCCACCGTCTGCTACCTGTCCATCATCCGGTGTCTCAGCTCCTCTGCAGTGGCCACTCGGAGCAAGAAGTCGCGGGCTTTGTTCCTGTCCGCTGCTGTGTTCTGCATCTTCGTCGTCTGCTTTGGGCCCACCAACATCCTCCTGATCGTGCACTACATGCTCCTCCCCGACAGCCCCGCCACGGAGACGGCCTACTTTGCTTACCTCCTCTGTGTCTGTGTGAGCAGCGTGAGCTGCTGCATCGATCCCTTGATTTACTACTACGCCTCCTCCGAGTGCCAGAGGCACCTCTATGGCATCTTGTGCTGCAAAGACAGCTCCGACGCCAACAGCTACAACAGCACCGGCCAGCTGATGCCAAGCAAAATGGATACCTGCTCTAGCCACCTGAACAACAGCATATACAAAAAACTGCTAGCTTAGGGGAGAAGGAGTGCTGGAAGGTTACACAGAAAGGGCTGGAAAAGTGGACAGCCCGGGGATCCTGTTAGTCTCTGGCAAGCGCTGTATTTACTTCGCCACCTAGAACAACCAATGTCTGATCTGCATGCCTACTTCCTGCAAGTGCCATCAAGCGTAGTTACCAGAAAGGTAATGGGGACAAAAGATGTCCAGCGTTGCCAGTACTGCCATAGTAACCAACTGTCCCTTCTCATATATCTAGGTGACCTGAATATATAGGCGTTATGCACATGCGTATTTGCAGTGCAGTGTGGAATCGGCGCTTTGACACGTTTCTCGTTTATTCCCTAGCAGTTACTATGGAAATAATCTGATTCTCTGACTTACTAAGCAAAGTCTGGTTTGGTGGATGTTAGCACTGAACAGTTAAAGGTGTCCAGTGATAGGGAAGGAGTTCCTAGTTCAGACTTAACACAGCTTTTACACATATATATTTCCAATTATTTGATGGTAATGTTTAAGCAATAGAAGGATGAAACAGTATTATCTGTGTAGGGGAAGATCTGGTGCTTCTCATCTTGAATACACCATAGTCGAAGAATTACCAAAGCAGTTAGAAAGTCCATTTTGATATGTGTAGCATTTTTGTAATTTACATACTGAATACATGGACCAGGATTGAGTATGAGACCCACCAGGATCATAAGAAACCTTTCAGAGCAGCCAACCCCAGGAACTAGGCACAGCCTCCTCCATGAGATCCTCTGAACAGCTGATACCCAGTCAGCTGTGAACTGACCATATCTGTTAGAAACTGAGCAGCTAGGATAAGACATCTTAGGAGGGAAATAACCACGAGAGTCGTCTGCGCATCTGAGGAGCAGAGAAAGGGGTGTTTATATCCAGTAGCTGTCGTGCAAGGCTGGCTCTTGCACAGACACACCTACGTGCCCTGGGCACTCTGATGGGAACTGGGGCTGCAGACTGACTGACAGCCAGACGTTAGCTGAGTCCTGCCTTTGCTCAAGCAAAGCAGATAGCTGACGTGTGGTCAACTGGATGTAAGCACTGCAGATACACCATTGCACAGAGAAGTGTGCTCAGCCAGACACCACCAGGCGTATTTCACAAAAGCAAGGCCTAACAGCTAAACAGCTTTGAAGATCTGAGTTTCTGCTCCCAGTAGCTATAGATTAGGATACAATCACAGCTTAAGGTGTATATTTTTAAGAAATAAGCCCTTCAGTCAACAATAACTAGACACTATTTATTTACAAATGTTTTTATTAGAAATTACTCAAATAAGCCAGGCATTGTGACATACATCTTTAATCCCAGCATTTGGGAGGCAGAGGTAGGCAGATCTCTGAGTTCGAGGCCAACCTGGTCTACATGATGACTTCCAGGCTATCTAGGGCTACATAGTGAGACCTCCGCTCAGAACAATAACCATATCAAAATGAAACAAAAAAAAACACATTTTTTCAAAAGCAAGAAAACACAAAAAATTTACTTATAAGGTCAGTCTGTTTTTTTTAAAAAATGGAAGAAAATGAAATTAAGACTGAAATGTAAGAAAATTATCCTGTATTTTTCTTGAGTTAATTAAATTATTTTAAAAGCATTTTTTAATGTCACAGTGACTAATAAGTATATAAAATCCTCAAGGCTTTGACACAGTAATTTGAAAATTAATTTGAAATATATACTTTTCCTGATTTAAGAACTACGTTGGCATTTTAAACAAATAAAAGAGAGTAGAAGGACTAAGTTTATTTAAGAGAACGAAGTATTTCCAGGTAGTGTAGACTAGCTTCCATGAAAGCCCTGCAGTTGTACTGTTAACTCAGTTACTGTCCTGATTATCTACATCACTGACTCACTGTCTGGGCTCTGTCTGTGACTTACAAAACTATTATTCCTGTCCTTGTGAACTTTGATGTCACTGTTTCGTGTTCACTCTTTTTTTTAAAGGATTACATAACATTAATAAACATGAAAACGTGCTTGGTATCTGTCTGGAATAGTTTATTGTTGTGGGACCTGGCGGGCGAGCACACCAAAACACTCTTTAGTGAATAGGTAAGTGTTTTAGGGTGGCGGAGCTGGGGTTTCAGGGTGAGCAGGGGATGGGGAAGCTCCCCAGAGGCTAGAGGTTAGGGAGAGCCCTAACCATTCAGAAGCAGGCACAGGCAATAATGTGCTAATCCCCTCTACATGACCTCCAACCCCTTGCTGGTGCTTCCCATTTGCATGCTGTGTGTGTGTGTGTGTGTGTGTGTGTGTGTGTGTGTGTGTGTGTGTGTGTGTGAAGCCAAATCGCCAAATCATCATGCCATTTCCATACATGTATACAGGGTGCCTTGATCACATCTGCACCCACAATCTCCCTTACCCCTTCCCTCCCTTGCCCTCTGCTCCACGGCCACTCCCCTTTTACTGTCAGGTCCCTTTCCCCTGGAAAAAAGACCACCCCTGAGCTCAGCCAGATGCCAATAGCGCCAGGTGATACCCCTTGCAGACAGCTTCTCTGGGCATGGAAAAGGGCTCTAGGGAACTAACGGGGGAGTGGGGAGGAGAACTCAGCATGGTCTTTGCAAAGATTCATTGGATGGTTATCTTCCTATTTTTTAATCCTCTTTTTGGAACATTGATGATTCTAATGTTGAAAACACATTGGGTTCCTCACTTGCCATGAGCGGCCATCTGCACTAAGAAGCATTCCTCGGCGAGAATTCAAAGAGGTGCTCAACCTTGACAATTGAAAATCAATGAAAAGTCTTCAGTACAGTGTTTATGGATTCACAGTTGATTTTTAAAAATATTGCTTCATCTAAACAAGCATTGTGTTAGCACAAAGAATTGTCAACAAGAATTTTCTAAGGTCATACATGCAGAAAACAGACCACATGGTGGTCTCAAATCAGGACCTCTGCATTAGGACCCTGCCTCTAACCACAAAGTTTGCAATCACAAACTTTCCTACTATAACTTTCCAAAATATATTTGAGCCCAAATTACACTCTTGAATTTTATCAACATAAAATGTATTTTCCACCACCAAGTCAAAAATAACACTTGTTTTTGAGGAAATGGAACATCCAGTTGACTGTTGAATACGTAGTTGGAAATTTTTATGTTGTGCATAATTTGAAGAAATTAGGGAAGCAGCATGTTCTTGAGGAAGCCATGCGTTTCAGAAACCAGTGGAAAGAAGGCGTTAAGCATGCTTTGTATGCCAGCTGTTTCCATTCTGAGGCCTGGGCCTTCCGCACACAACTTACCCTCACAAAGGGTCACATGTATGAAACCCTCATATAACAGACAAAGGGAAGGACTGTCCCCAACAGTGGTCACCAGGATCATTAGTGCTTTGTATAGAGCCTTTCAAAAGACCAAGTGGTAACAGGAGAATTTGGCACCGGGAGAAGACAGCACAAGCTTTCTGGAGGAGAGGCAGTTCAGTGAGCTGTGGTCTGAGGACAGAGACCAGTAGGGTCATTCTCAGAGACACCTGTGATCAGGACTAACGGCGCAGTAGGAAGATGTCTCTGACCTTTCTGGGTGTAGTGCTGAGTTTCCCAGAGGCTACTTGTCATGGGATAGTCACTGGCCTCTGAGGCAGACAGCAAAATGTCGTCCACTGAGCCAACCATAAAGATACAAACACAGGAGGCAGGGCAGGAGAGATGGCTCAGAGGTTAAGGGCACTTGTTGCTCTTCCAGAGGATTTGGGCTCAGTTCCCAGCACCCACACAATGGCTCACAACCACCTGTAATTCCAGTTCCATTGGATCCAACACCCTCTTCTGACCTCTGAGGGCATCAGGCGAGCACATAGCACACACATCTACATGTTGGCAGACCATCCATCTTCTGACCCAAATAAGTTAAAAAGAATTGTTCTCAAACATAGCTTTCCAAATCCGCTGACTTTCCAAGAACACACAACACAGGTCATGGTGGCTCCCATCTGCAGTAGTGGTGCTCGCTGCTAGGGAGGCAGAGGCGGAGGTCACTAGGTGTTTCAGACGGCATGAAGAGTTCTAGGCTGTCCTGGGCCGCAGTCTCCCAAAAAAGAGTAGGAGAAGGAAGGGGAGGAGGTGGGGGGGGAGGGAGGAAGGGAGGGATTGAGGAAGGAAGGCAGGCAGGCAGACAAGGGGAGAGGAGAGGAGGGAGAAGGATAAGAGAGTGACGGTGAGATGACAGGAAAGGGGGAGAAGAAGAAAGATGGAAAAGAAGAGAATGGGAGATGAGGGGAGAAGGGAGAGGAGGGGGGAAGGAAACAAGCAGGCTAATTATATTTCAAGCAAACAGGAGTGAACTGGTACCTCGCTGCTGCTGGCCACCTGCTGACTTTCTGGCTGCCTCACACCTAAGGGGAACCCTTGCCTTGAAGCATAGACTAAGTATGAAAAGTCTTGAAAGTATAGACTAAGTAGAGTCAGGTATCTGGGTGCCCTGTGCCCATGGTCGGGAGGCAAGAGGTACAGTGTGGTCCATGGGTCAAGGGCAGATACAGTGTGGATCATGGGACAGGAGGCAGGTACAATGTGATACATGGGTCAGGAGGCAGAAACTATATAGTCCATGGGTCGAGAGGCAGGGACAGTGTGGCCCATGGGTCAAGAGGCAGGGATGGTGTGACCCATGGGTCAGGAGGTAGGTACGATGTGGCCCATGAGACCCGAGGCTCTGTATAAAGTTGGCTTTTCAGCTAGCTGCTGCCTAAAAGGAAAAGATGAACTTTTGAGTATGAGCTGCCAGAGCAATCTAAAACAGCAGTGGTCTCCCAGGAGTCATCTCGAGACATCAGAAAGCAGGCCAAGCAAGTATGCATGCATACTGCATGCATGCATGCACACCTATCACCCCAGCACTTGAGGCAGAACCGTGGGGTCAAGGCCAGCCTGGGTTACATAGTGAGTCCTGGTCTCAAAACAGATGGGAAACCAAGAAGTAAAAGAAAAGTCAGCCAGCGTTTGAGCTTGTTACCCCGAAGACTCACTGGGCACTGGATGCTGCTTTTCTAGAAACACGTGGGAAACCAGAGGTCAGATTCAGCAGCATCTTGGATTTCAGAGCAGACAACACTTGCTGTGTTTTCTCCCCAGGTGGCTGCCTGTTTATCCATAAGGAAATGACTCAGAGCCAGAAGAGAGATTCGCCTCAGATGCTGCATCCACAGTAGCCGGAAGCCTGGGTTTGGGGTCAGGGCAGGCCTGGCCATCCTAATGACTATAGACTATAGTAACAAAACCTTTTTAAGCTACCACTGGGCGACCCACTCTGGCGGCAAGACCCTGAGATCACCACCAGGAGGGAGACTGTCCACACGGCAGCACAGTGATAAGACAGCAGTTGCTTAGCTAAATACATTGGTTCCTCTCTTAGCCTGAGACACCTAGTTATTCTTGACCTGCTGAGGTGATGAACGCACCTCCCCAGAGAGAGAATGAGACAAGTGCATCCCTTCCATTGGGTTTTAGATATTTTTGTAGTGCTGAGGAATGAAACCTAGAGGCTCACACATGATAGGCAAGCTCTTTCCCACCCAGGTACGTCCCCAGAAGGTTCATTCGTCAATCACAATATAGAATAATACTTAATTAAGAAATATAGAATAAAACCAGATGGTGGTGGCGCACACCTTTAATCACAGCACTCGTGAGACAGAGGCAGGTGGATCTCTGTGGATTCGAGGCCAGCCTGGTCTACAGAGTGAGTTCTAGGACAGCCAAGGCTACACAGAGAAACCCTGTCTTGAAAAAAACGAATAAAGGAAGGAAGGGAGGGAGGAGGAGGAGAAGGAGGGAGGGACAGAAGGAGGGAGGGAAAGAGAGGAAAGAAAAAAAGGAGAGAGGAGGAGGAGAGAGGGATGGAGGAGGAGAGAGGAGAGAGAAGAGGAAGAGAATAAGAAAAGAAGAAGAAGAAGAAGAAGAAGAAGAAGAAGAAGAAGAAGAAGAAGAAGAAGAAGAAGAAGAAGAAGAAGAAGAAGAAGAAGAAGTTTGAGCAGTTCTGCCTTATTATAAGGAAGTTTTGGAAACTTTTCATCAGTTCTGAACCGTTAGAGAACTTCTAAACAAATCCAGCATCCCCACCCTACACCCAACCACCATGAGTCACAGCCTTTAGGGAACTGCGCCTGAGCATCCATCAGAACTGCTCCCTCTCTGCAGGAGATTCAAGCGAGTAAGATGGAGTTAATAGCGCTACTTTAAACAAAACATCTGGGCCTGGCGGAGTACTTGCCTAGCATGTAATGGCCTCATTTCCCAGCACTACAGAAAAGAAAAGAGTTTGGCTTGGCCTTTCCATCTGGGGATCTACTGAAGCTGCAGACTCTGAGCTGTAGGCCTGGGTTGGGGCTGATGCGCATGTCTAACAGAGGTCCATAAAACCGAGCCAGTTTTGTGGTTTTGCCACTGTTGTTGCTTTGAGAGAAGGTCTCATTGTGTAGTTCAGATGGATTCATACTTTGGAGTCCCCCATGTAAGCTTCCCAGGTGCCAGGATTGCAGGCAGACATCACCACACCCACGACACCGGGGCACTTGATAAAGCAGCAGTAACATGGTTGCTTAATTCAGCTTAATTCAAACTTGTTTGAGGTGATGTCTGTCTTCCTATGACTCCCCTCCCCTCTTGGGGTCTTTTCTCGGGGGAAAAGATAGCTTAAAAGGCTCTAGTCTCCACAAAACTTTGGGCTTTTAAGAGTGTCGACTGCGATTTTTGAGAGTGCCTAGCAGATAGCCAAGCATCTGGTGGATAAAAAAAAAAAAAAAAAAAAAAGATGTTTTCCCACTAGGGAAACTGTTTCCCACTGGGTCTGGCTGAAATACGGTGACCTCGGGAACACACATTCTAGTTAATATCAGGAATGTCATCTTAGCCTTGCTGGAATGGGGAGCGATACTGACCCTGAGGCAAGTGATTCACTCAGTCCAGGGTTCATCAATACAGATCAGTGACTCCACAGTCCCAGGGAACAGAAAAGGTCTGAGAGA